GTACATGCACTCTAACCCTTCCTGTGGACTGTAGGGGGGCCTGTGAGAACAGGTCTGATAACTTTTCGACAGTAAACAGAGCTTCCTCAGCTGATAGGCCACATCAACACTGGTGTAATGTTTTGTCATCAGCAGGACAAACGGTGCTGAAGAGTGTGACGCTGTGTCCACCGTTCTTTTCAGCACCGGTACAGTTCACAGGAAGGGTTAGAGTGCATGTACGAGCACATGGGCAGATAAACGCTTGGAGTAAAGGTGAGGAGGTATTTTTATGATAAAACAGTGAATACAATAAAAATGTCCAGTTTGACTTATTGTTGAGGGTTCTAATGTACAAAAAATATATTTTAATTGACGATGTGTGACAATGGTGTGTCAATATGGTCATTAATAAGTATTTTTACAAAATCTAAGTAAAAAAAAACTTGGAATAAAAAAATTAAAACACACAATCATAATAAAAAATGAAGTAGAATATATTTCTAGATATAACATAAATTATGTTGGAAACCACATGAATGAATACAAATTTAAAGTCGTTTAATAAAAAAAAAAACCACTCAACTATAACTCAATATTGTTTATATATCCCATGATTTGATATTTTTACCTAATGTTTGAAAACATAAGGAAACATTTACAAAAACAAAAAATTTAAAAGTCAACACAAAAGTAGAATACCACAAGAATTTTAAACTGGATAATAAATGATCCACCAGGATTGCTTTAAATTCATACACCAAAGTTAGTCATGGAGTTCCTCAGGGTTCAGTACTTGGACCAATACTCTTTACTTTATATATGCTTCCGTTAGGTAAAGTTATTAAACAGCATGGGATACATTGTCCTGAGCCTGGTTCTGCTAAAGGTTTCTACCTCATGAGGGAGTTTTTCCTTCCCACTGTCGCCTTCATGCTTGTTTAAGATGAGAGTTCTGTGATGGAGTTAAACTCAAAGCAGTCTGATCCTCAGATAAATAATGTTAACTTAAATTTATGTACATATATGTTTATGTTCAGTGCCTTGAGATGACTTCTGCTGTGACTTGGCACTATATAAATAAACTGAATTGAATTGAAATTGTACATATAAAAATATGCTCTGATTAGGAGTTGTGGTAGCTCGGTGGTCAGAGATGTGGTCTACAAAAAAGTTTTTTTTAATCTAACACAAAAAGCTGAAACAATTAGGTCAAGTTTGTATTTTGTTTCTTACTTATAGATTACTTTGATTTTAAATAAAAACTAGCATTCCTTGAAAAAAAAAGCTTAATATGTTATGCTAACGTTAAAAACAAAGATTTCCTGTTATCTCTTGTTTTCAGAGCATGTGTTGAGGGTGACCCTCAGCTACTACCACATCAAACTTTAGATCAGTATCTGTAAATCTGACTTTATTAAACAATATTACACACATTGTTATGTAAATGACTTTTCCACTTTTGTTTTGTTCTTGTGTTTAACTTGGTGATGTTAAGGGTTTCAGAAAAGGTGAGCTGCAAAACCATAAACATAAAATAAACTACTCACATTTTTCGCATATTCAGTTGTAAAGGCTCTTTAATACAACTGACGTAAACCTACGGCTTATTTATCCAAGGTGTAGCAGCATGCATAAGTCACGGTTTAATGCATACGTACCCTCGATGTGAGGGTCAAGGTTTGGTGCAACAGGAACAAGAAAAAATGGCGCGCACACACACAGACTTCTTTTAAACACACAATAACCTTCCCAGAATCACAGACAGTAAACCACTCGAGTTCGTTTAGAGGCTCTAAGGGTGCTGGTTGTGTGCAGCAAGGTAGGATTTGTCAACTAACTTCTATATAAGATTAAATAGTAAAAAAAGACAGATTTTATAATATATTTCAACTTAAACTAAGCAGTGTCCTACAGGCCAGGTGTAAAACAAAAAGGTGATTAAACTCCAAATGTAAAGGGGATTTGATTTTTGTTAATGAAATAGTGAAAATGTGTTCACGAGCTCACCGCTTCCACCCGAATCTTGACATTTTCAAGCTACAGAATTAGTAGAGATGTCAAAATACTAAAAGGACCAACGGGCCAATAAATACGTAACGTCTCACTTGATTTAAAAGCCATATAAAAATATAACAAAAGTCTGCAAAGACTTACATTTAGTCATTTGGAAACAACAGCCTTTATGAGAACACTGAATGAATAATGTAAGAATAAACTACACTCGTGTTAAAATAAAACTAGTTTGTTTTTTTCAATTATTATATAAACCACCTATAAAATACTTCTCACAACTGTCTACTGAAGACATTAAAGGTATTTTCTCTGTGCGTTTGATTTAATTTCAGTAAAGCCTTAGGATAAGTAAGTAAATTGATTATTGTCTTATTGAACTCATTTACTGTGTAATCTAGAATAAGGAAACAGAACTTATTAGTAAAGTGAGAGGATGGGATTAAATAAGTTTGTACTTCTTCTCACTCTTTTTTCAAACATGTTTTATTTTGTTTATCTTGTTACAATATTTATTTCTGTTTTTGTTTCTGTTATATGTTTGAACATAAAGAATAAAGAGTATTAGTGTGTGTTGCACACTAATACTCACTGTGTTGTCACATTTTATTCACATCCACGCAGTTATTTTAGTAAAACTTCACCTCCATGAGTTTGATCTGTCGCTCTCGCTCCTCCACCACGGCGGCGTTCTTCTCCTCCAGCTCCTCCACCCTCTGCTCCAGCTGCCGGCCCCTCAGCTGGGCCTCCTGCTGCTCCCTGTGGCACCTCCGCAGGTCCTCCTCCAGAGGAACGACCTGAGCAGAGAGAGCAGAGAGAAACTTGATGTCTGAATCATCAGGATGACGTGCGCCTGAAAACATCAGAGTTGATTTTATCTCGCACAAAACTTCACCCTCAAATCTGAAACTGGTTCAGGGTGACTACAAGCTGTATTTTCATTCTGATGAGTGCCGCACCTCTTCCTGCAGTTTTTTGGCTGCATGTCTGGCTTTCTCCAGCTCTGCCCCCTTTTCCTGCAGCTGTCTCCGCAGCTCAGCCAACTCCCTCTGACTCCTCTCTCTGGCCTCGTCGACCTGGTTCTGAAGCACATCTGTGGACGCCTCACACTCCTCCATGATATTAGTCATCTGACCGGGCAGATAAGCACAGGGCTCAGATAAGTTGACGACTTTGGACATATCAAGAGGCTGCAAGCGTACAAATCATCTGCTGTTTCTGCTGATTTTACTTCATGCTGAAGGAAACAGACGTCCAAACATCATCAGGGTCCAGAAATGTGCACGATAACCCAAAAACCAGCACCTCTCACCTTTCTCTGCAGTTGCTCCATCGCCCTGTCCTGCAGTCTCCTCTCATCCTCCAGCTCTGTTTTTGTCTTCCACAGCTCCTCCATTTGTTTCCTCTCCTCCTTGAGCTTCTCCTTTAACTCCCTGTGCTCCTGGTTGAGTTTGCTCAGCTTGCTCTTGAAAACGGAGAGGAAAGCATCAGTTTCCAAACCGACGTCATGCTGTTTATTCTGTGCGTGTGCATCTTGTTACCTGTGTGTCCTCCAGGCGAGAAAGCAGGGACTGGTTGGACTGACTGATCTCGTCCTCGTTCCTCCTCACGTCCTTCAGCGACTCCTCCACCTGGAGCTTTTCCCTCTGAGGAAGGAGAGGAGCAGGAAGCAAAAGCATCACATCATCCGTGACTGAAAGCATCTATATAAAAAAAGGCTTGGCATTCATTAGGGGTTGCAAACTGCCCAATGTATCTCATGTCAGTTTTAACTTTAGCTCCCTAAAAAATGCCTATAACGCCTTGAAAAGCAGCTGTTTTGATTCACATCTCTTACTGCAACACCAATATTTTAGCTCAGTATCTGTAAAGCTAAAGTTATAACCATTTACGTGTCGGCTAAGTGTGATTAGCTGTAACGGTCACCTTGCACTGGGTTAACTCTACAAGTTAATCAGTTGTTAATGCACATCCAGTGGTTAAATTCTGTGCATTTCATTAAAATCTATGGTTCGTCAGATATTATGCTAACAGACCAACAGACTCCAACATCTAATGCTAAAGTTTTCAGCAGAGAGCTTGTGCAATGCTCACAGCGTGAGTCTCATCACTGCTGCACCAAATTTTGGATCAATCACTGACTCACTTGTAGCCAATATTGTGTTTGCCGATGTTAGCTTGCTGCGGCGGCCATATTGAGTTAAGTTGGCTCCAAAAGTTAATCAGCTGAATGTGCAAATCCAATTATTACTTTCTGAAAGTTTCATTAAACTATGTCCACTAGTTTATGTGTATTTTGCTAAACACACACAAAGAAACAGAACATTCCACTATAATATAATAAAATAGTTTCAGGTGCTCTGTTTCTCCATGCCCCCACCTCCAGCTGCTTTGCTCTCTGCTCCATCAGTCTCTCTGTGGTTTTGAACTCCTGGATGGCCTGACTCAGCTGCTCCACCTTGTTGTTCAGTTCTCGGACCTTTCCCTTCAGATGGTCCCGCTCCTGGATCAGCTCCTTCAGCTGCAGCTTCACTGCACCTCTCTCCTCCTCTGCCTCAGCCTTCCCGTGACCCAGCAGAGCGTTGGTCTGCAGGACGGGATGAAGACGATTAAAGTCAAGATAAATCTGTCTCCAACCGTCTGCATCAGAGCAAATATTTCCCCTCACCTCCTTGGACTGCTCCAAATCCCTCAGCAGCTTCTCAAGCTCCTGTTCATATTCCTCCTTCAAAGCAGCCGTGTATTTATCGTGAGTCTCCACCTCCTCTTTCAGTGCCCCCTTCAGGGCGCTGAACTGCCTTTCTGTGTGGTGCAGCAGCTCCTCCTGCTCCTCCTTTATTTGTAGCATGTCCTGAAAGTCCATACGGAGCTGTGCCAGATCCTAACAGACGGCCATCAAACAGAAAAATCTCAAGTTGGGTCAAACTCTGTACAGCTGCTGCTGATTTAAAGTAAACTTTGTGGTTTGTGTGGTTTCATGTTACCTTAAGAAGGACTTCTTTCTCTGTGTTGATCAAATCTGTCTTCTTGGCTTGGTCCAACTCATCGTGCATCTCAGAGAGCTGCTGCTGAAGGTCTTTCATCTCGGCCTTAGATCTTTCTCTTTCCATCTTCATCTGATTCAGTCTGTTAATGTCACAAACAGATGGGGAAGTTAACCTAATGTGCATCTTTTAGGTATAGACCAGTGGTTCTCGAAGTTTTTCCATCAAGCCACCCCTTTGGAGAAAGAAAACTGTCCATGACCCATAAACAAAAAAAACTGTATTTTAAGCTGCTGTCAGACCTGAATAAGATTAATAAGATTAAACATCACAGTTCACCTGAACGAACAAAGCTTTTTAGCAGAGGCTTAGTTTGACGAGCTGGAGCACAGCTTTGAGTGGACATGCATGATTTGTGTTTTATATTGTTTGTATTTGGGTGTCAGAGCTGTTGCCTCTCAGCAAGAAGATTACAGGATCGCCTCCCAGACAACGTCTTTCTGGGTAATTCTCTTTTTTTTTCTTTACAGAACTAAAAACATGACTGTTTAGGTAAATTGGCTCTAAATTGTTGTCCCCAAGTGTGAGTGAGAGAGTAAATTATTGTCTCTGTGTGTCCCTGTGATGGACTTGTGACCTGTCCAGGGTGTCCCCCGCCTCTCGCACAGTGACTGCTGGTGATAAGCACCAGTGACCCCCAATGTACACGATGACCTACAACCTGGAATGTAGAAGGGGTTAAAGAAAATGGATGGATGGCGAATGTGTTGATAAACAGTATGTGAAAGGGTTTTTTATTGAGGATAGACCAATCGATCAACCAGTTTGAATCGTTTAATATATGTCATCTTTAAACAATCTGCAGTCGACCATGCATGTGCACGCCTGTCATTTACTAAGCAGGAAAATGAAAATGAGGCAGCAGCTGCTACAACCAGTACTAGCCCACAATTTAGTTTATTTAAATGACAAAGCTTTTCTCCAGTGCCTTGGCTCAGCAGAGCTTTACTGAATGAGCTGAAGTTTACGCCCTTACTCCTGTTTGGTGGACTGAAGTTCTGCCTCAGTTGCAGACAGCTTTTCTCTCAGTTTGCTGAGCTCTGTTTGACTTGTTGTCTTCTCCTCCTGGAGTTGCGTTTTCTCACTCCTCGCTTTTTCAAAAGCCTTGGCTAAAGTCATCTCATTCTGCACCGAAGGAAAAAACAAGCACAGTAATATATCAGTTACAGGAACAACAAGTGAGCTGGTACGAGATAAAGCAGGAAAATGTGGAGTTAACGTCCCACCTTGATCTCAGTTTCCAGTTTATGCTTTAATTGATCCACTTCTTTCTCCAGAGCTGCGTGTTTCTCCTGCAGGATACTTATTTTTGTTTCATGGTCCTATAAACAAAATCCAACAACACAATGTTATCAGGAGAATAAGTCCAAGTCAAATTATGTTGTCCCCCTTGGGAAATATCTCACTCTCTCCTCCTCCTCCACACTCTCAGCAGTTCTCCACTTCAGCTTGTTGATCTTCTCAAGCAGGAGTTTGACTTTTCTTAGGGTGGTGGAATCATCATCAGTCGTCCTGAGGAGCAAAACAACGAGCTCACAAACACAGTGATATGATAGAGAGAGGGCCTAGTGGTAAAGTTAAATTTTTTTCCAGCTTCTACTGTAAGTGAACATATTTAAGAGGAGTGCATGAGAAGATATGTACCTAAACTCCCCGTTGACCTTTTAGTGAGCAGATATTAGCACTGCTTCAACATAGCTCTCAAATCGGCACAAAGCAGGCCTTGGGATATGTTTAAATGTTTCCACATGAAGCAATTGTTTTATCAGTGAAAACACATTCATGCTTTGCATTCCTGACTACTCTGCACACTTCCAGAACTTCCAGCACACAGCTGGAACAGCAGCTGGATTCTGACCCCTCTGTACAGTCACTACAAACTCATCACCAATAAGAAGTTCAATGAGTGGTACACCGATGTCTCCCATGAGGATTTTGAACAGGGAACGTTTGTAGTTTTCAAGTGTAATTTTTTTTCTTGTCCGAGGCAGTGCCGAGTGACAGATCCTGGTGAGTGGAGAGAGCACTTTTATCCATGACCAGACACAATGGCAGAACCAGGAGTGGCCATTGGTGGCTTTGGTCACCATACATTAATCTTTGGTCACCAAACATTAATCTTTGGTCACCATACATTAATCTTTGGTCACCATACATTAATCTTTGGTGACATTACATTAATCTTTGGTGACATTACATTAATCTTTGGTCATATATATATATATATATATATATATAAAAGAATACAGAATGCCCCACGTTCTTTTGACATTTAGTTCTTGATGTTTTTACTTTATAATTGGAGTAACAATTTACAATCATTGTTCATTCAACAAGTATCAGCAAACAGGTCCCAACCATGATGCTTACTCTGCCATGCTGTACTTTCCCTGAGTTTTTCCTTTTCTAAACAAAACACCTATTTCAGTTCAACAAAATATTTTTCAATCCACTTTTGGCTTGACTCAAACTAACAGATGAAGAGTTTCAATGTTTTGTTGTTGTTGTTGTTGTTGTTGAAGCACAGAAAACAAGAGCCAGCATCTCGTTTAGCTAATCTCACTAAAGCCCACAGAACTACAAGTCATACCTTGTTGATCTACAGGAAGTTTGTGCAAAATGTCAAGACATAATGCAGAACACCAGTTTGTTTTTTTTCCTACGTGCACGGTTTGAGTTACATAACAAACAAAAAGATTAAACGTATTTTAGTGAGCTTTAGAGGTGCTGATGTGTGTATTGTCAAAAGACCTATGACCTGTTTCAACCCAAGAGTTGAAATGTTTTCTGATTATAGGCACAGGTGCACCTTAAATTGTAGGTTGAAAAATACGTACACATTTACTTACCCATTCTTCAGGTAAATGAAGAGTATTTGCTTTGCTGTGTCTTCAGGTGGATCTACTGAGAGCTCTTGCTGCCCTTTCAGAAGATCAGGAGTTACCTGGTTAGAAAACACATCAGCGAATAAACAAATCATGATAAATGAAAACTTTGCTCTGAAGACAAACTCTTTACCTGTGTGTCTCTGTCTTCAGATCCATCTGTTTGGTCAGCACGGGGCCTGAAGGTAGAGGGTTTCTCTGCTTTCTGAGCCTGTGTTGCAGTCTGCTGTAAAACCATCTCCTTGCCGTGATGATTTCTGAACAGTGCACCAGGCTGGTTCTCCTCCACTTTGTTTGTCAAGGTGGACTGTCCAGTGAGAAGTCGAGCTCTGGCCGACCCTGGAGGATAGACCCCGCCTGAGGTTTCTCCTCTAATGCCCTTCAGTGAGGAAGTTCTGCTAGATGAGGAGGACGAGGAGTCTGAGATGCGACTGCTGTCCACACTGCGGGACCGCCGACAAGCTTCTGGATCCAGTCTGCTCCTTGGACCCCTTCCTCTCCGCAGGCTGGTGTTGAACTGGCTTATCAGCTTCCCAACAGACATGATGGAGTCTGTGTTCACTGAATTTGGGGACTGTAAGTCAGCATGTCCACCTGAGGGAAGCATCTCGTTTTGGATCACCTCAGCTGGGTCTACTTCTGGACCCTCAGCAGGGAGAGGGATCCTTGGTTTGGCTACAGGAGGTGTGTGTGGCTGTCCAGACCCAAAAGCTGAGGCTGTTTGGAAAGGAGTGACACAGTTATTACTTTCAGACTCACAAGGTCTCAGGGTCTCTGGGTGTTTCTGATAATAAAACATGGAGGAATTTCCAGTTCTTTGTGTCTCAGACGGAGGCTGCCTTCCATCCACAGATCTTCTCACCACTCCTGGGTTGTACCCTGCCTGGTGAGTTATGACAGAAATGTCCTTGTGGTTCTCCTGGCAGGAACTATTCAAAACCACGTAGGGTTGACCTTGAATGCCCTGAACCTGCACCCTGACTCCAAACAGGTTGTCCTGGCTGTCTCTGGGACAGGGTGGTACCATGTAGCCCCTCCGCATCCTGACATCTGAGCCACTCAGGCTGCGAGACTCCATCCTGCCTCTGCCTCTGAAGGATTCGCTGATAATCTAAGGAAAACACAAATGTGCAAGTTAAACGGAGGCTGTGTGAGCTTGCATGGGAGGGTGAGTTGAAAACTGATGCATTATGATGGTACGGCTAAATAAAGTGTTTACAAAACACTGGAGCAGGGTTGGTGCACAAGGACAGACATCCTGAGAGCTCCTCTTGCAGCTGCAAGCAGCCAACGTAAAGACAGAATAAATGGACCCCGCTGAGAGGCTGATAATGCTGTGCAATGAAAACAGCTCCTTCTGTGTGCTAATGACAGGACACTACTGTCCAGCTCGGGCTGAAGCAACTGCATGACGACCGCAACTGGCCGAAAACACAGAGGTGTCGTCACCCACTTCATAGTATAGCACTAGAGGAATATGTTTGCCAACAAATACACTACTATGAGGCAGAAACGCCAGAACACAGGAGGTTTTGTGGAGAAAACAATCACGTATCATCTCAAGAGCCTCGTCCTGACACAATCCACGGAGAGAGGACGAAACCAGCAGACAGAGACAGAACTGAACTTATTTTTTAAACAACGTGAGAAGTAATGGGACTAAACACATTTCATTAAACATTTATATAAAGATAAAAAGATAGAAGATTAAATACCGCTGGAGATAATGAAGCCATCAGGTGATGCTGGCAAGTTAATAAGGAGCAGGAAAAAGATGGTAAAACCGGAGGCATAATAAGGATAACTGACTTCGCAATGAAAATACCAGTAAAAAACAAGAGCGAACAACTTAAGAGTTAACAAAAACACAAGAAATGAGACTCTAATATCAACAAAATAATGAGAGTTGATCACTAACCGAAGTAAACAGAGGTGCTAAACAAAGGAACAGTTCAACTCAAACAACCAGCATGCACACATCCAGAGGACAGACACTTTTATTATTTTATGACAGACGACAGCATTTAGATTTGGTACTAATAATTTTATAGACCCCTGGTTCTCAAACTGTGATACAAGTACATCTACCAAGAATCCCTCAAGTGATACCCAGAAGAAATAGTATCTTCTATTTACAAAATAAATAACAAGATGATTTACCATCTAATTTACCATCACGAGCTGAACAGTGACGTAAACCTAAAAAGCACAGAGAGCCAACAATTATGAGCAGTACAAGAAAATTACAATCTTTTGCTCCAAATGGAAACTTCTTGAATCAGAGGTAAAATAGAAAACATTTTAAGATTTCCTGTTGAAACTGAGGTGGATGACAGTTAAACAATATGCAAGTAGCTACATAAGCAGCACCAAAGAAATTAAAGCTGTCATTTCTAATCCAGGCCCGAAGCCTGGCCCGGCCCGACTCAAACTGGAGCCGAACCGGGCCATAATAATGTGCTGGATGGGCGGGCCAGGTCGGTGTCAGGCTTTTGATTGCATTAGCGGACGTGTGCGGCTGACGATCCAATTATATGGCAACATGGTTTGCCATACTATCACCAGCCACACAGGGTCATTTCACCGCGAGCTGACTGGCCTTGAAAGAGGTAAAATAAAGTTCAGTTAAGCTTCAGATGGGACTACCAGTACTGCCAGGAAGCGAGCCATTGCCCAAATGGACATTCAGCCTTCACTCAGTGGACGCGCGCAGTCGACGACCCAAACAGGTAAAGATTCCAAAGCAGACATGTCAGAGCATGGTCCATGTCTGAATAATGCAGAATGCAGGCAGAAGTAGGGCTTTAATGCACTTTGACAGTCATCAAAGGACTATCACCCCCTCAGCTCCAATCTTCTGCCCCTTTTATTCAACCGTGCGCGTCCGCCAACCGTTAATAACTATATTAGCAGTCAAAGCTTAATTAAAAATGTCAAGGGGGAGCTGGGGGAGTGTCGGGTTTGGACCTGTAATTACTGTTAATTCGTTGGATCGGGTGGGGTTCAAAAATGATGGCTACGGGATGGGGCCAGGTTGAGTCAGAATTTTTTGGGCCTAAGACAACACTAAAAGAAATCCCTACAGGACCTATTACCAACAAAATCCTAAAAAATGTGAGGAAATGTCATTCAAGTTATCCCAAGTTTGTATTCAGTTGTTTTGGGGCAGAGGAAGAAGCGAGACTGCGGTGTACTGTTCTCAATAATGAATGCACGATCCATCCAGCCTTCTGAATGAAGTTTCTAAAACATCAAACATCTGACATAAAAAGGCAAATAACTCTCATATTTAAGGTACACACACGAAGGCCTGATCAGATTTGACTGAGTGAGGGTGTCTCGTGGTGATAGCCGAAACATTTGATGATCTTTTGGTCCACTGCTGAAGATGTCCCAACATTCTAGTAATAAACCTGGACTTTTGATTGTTAAATGAGCTTAAATACAGATTCAAGGGTTGCATTAACGTACAAAAAACATATATTCCTGGTTGAAGATAGTTAATACAAGATTAGAAGCTCTGAAGATAAGAACCAGCTCACTGCAAGCCTACATGGAAAAAAATGTTTTAAAACGTTACATTCAACAGCATATAAGCAGATTATTGTTACACATTTTCTGCTGCCCTTGGGTCAAAATGATCCATGAGGCCTCTGAGGCCTCATGGATCATTTTGACCCAAGGGCAGCAGGAGGGTTAAACTTCAGTCCTGGTCCAGTGCTGCTCTTCTGACAATGTCTTATTGCACTTTACCGTATAAAATCCCTTTTGTCAGGCTATCTTTCAAACCTTGTTGTTTTCTCTACTTGCATTTTTTTTTTTTTCACCACAGTGCATCATCTAAATGCCACTGCTAATTTCAAATTATCCTTACAGTGACAATATGAGCACTCTAATTCTGGTAAAAGTAGCCTGACAGTTAGTATAACTCTTTAATCCAGTTTTAGAACCTCGTGAGGATATAGTTTTTCCAATATTCCAAAATTGAAGCTGTCAGAATAATTGTATATGTATTAGGGAAATGTCATTTTCATGTAGAAATCACTGGCCACTATTTCATTAAGTTCAACGAACAGAAAGCGCACACAACTGATGACAAAAATTTCCTAAGGCGTAACTGAGAGGCGGGCGGTGGATAAAACTTTATTTTTATTTACAAAGTTCCAGCTGAATCATTAAATATAGCCAAAGGTAACAATAAATCAACCCAGCAGTTGGGAATCGATGAGTCTTACCCGCTGTGTGTGTCCGCTGTTAGCGGTGAATCCTCCTCCTCTGACCGACAACACTGCTCGGTCTCCGGCTGGACTCCCTCTGTCTGCCTGCTCAGAGAGGCGGTCCTCTCAGAGGCGTGTCGTCACGTGACCGCAGCTCGGGATGACGTCACAGATCATCGTACCGATGCCATTCCGTCTGATGTCATAGATATAAACACTAGATGCCTCATTGGCTGATGCGGCGCAGGATTTTCGGCCGCCATCTTGAAACGGTCGTCCTTATTTGGTTAAAGCAGATGTTTCAGCACTTCGCAGCTATTTCTGTTTAGATCGACGGACTGTTGACGTCAGGTCTCGGGGGATAACTTTTCACAAGTAAGATGAACATATTATTGTTGGTATTTTGTGAATAGAATATTACTGTACTGTATTTATGTCCACCAGCTGTGATGTTCAGTGTAACACGGTGTTCAGCTGCAATGAAGCTGACTGAGATCTGATGACAGGAATATTTTGCTAACAAGCATACTCACTATTTCAGTAGCATTGGTTCATTATCAAGAGATATGTATCATAATTGGAGTTTTGTCTTAAGTTCTAGGAAATAAAAAAATAAAACTGGGGAGAATATAGGAAATAGAAAATAAGCTTGACCTCCTCTGTACAATGTTTTTGTGAAGACACAAATCTCCTGTTTTCATTTTGAAGGTTTCCCAAAGAACAAGATGTGAGGAAAAGGAGGAAGTATCTTTGAGGAGGATTCATCTGAGCAGTGAGAATTTTAAACTGGAGGATTTTGATCAAACTGATCAGACTGTCCGACTGAGACATGGTGTGGTACCATCGGTTCACCTTCAAGGAGTAGGAGCATCATTATAAGTTCATTAACGTTCATAAAGTTACATATTTCATTATGAGTCACAAGGTGAGACACCTCCATGTGTTTATATGAACAGGTAACTATAGACTGTAAAGTTCATATTCATTATGCTTTTTCATTTCAGCTTGAAAGAAATCCACAACCTCTCCTCCTCCACCATAACCCTCAGCACTGGCTCTCCTCAGGGATGTGTGTTGAGCCCCCTCCTGTTTACTCTGCTCACATATGATTGTGCAGCTACCCATCCAGGCTGTCACGTTGTAAAGTTTGCAGATGATACAGCGGTGGTGGGATGCATCACAAACAATGATGAGTCCAGCTACAGGCAGGAGGTGGAACACCTGGAGAGCTGGTGCAGAGAGAATAACCTTCACATCAATGTGAAGAAGACAAAGGAGATGATTGTGGACTTCAGAAGGAACAAAAACACCTACACCCCCCTGAACATAAGAGGATCTGCGGTGGAAGTGGTCTCCAGCTACAAGTACTTGGGTGTACACATGAATGACAACCTCAGCTGGAGCAACAACACCACCAGCCTGATCAAGAAAGCTCATCAGAGACTCTACTTCCTCAGACGGCTGAGGCGAGCTGGTCTGGGAAGCTCAGTCCTCACCTCCTTCTACAGGTGTGCAGTGGAGAGCATCCTGTGCTCGAGCATCAATGTGTGGCATGGAGGCTGCACAGCTGCAGAAAGAAAAGCTTTGCAGAGAGTGGTGAAGGCTGCACAGAAATCTGT